AACCTATACCCACAAAAAAAATTAAATGGGCACTTGCAGGAAATTGATTTGAAGGGCTATGGGGATCGAGCAGAGGAGTGGGACTGACCTGTATTGCTGTTTGAGAAGCTGACATGGACTTGATCCCCAAATGACCTCTTCCTATGCAGCAAATGATTTTATGGCTAATCTTGGATAGTCTCCCTTTCTCAGCTATTATCACCAACATCAGACTTACTGGTCATTCATTTAATTGCTATTTGTGGGATCTTGCTGTATATAAATTGAGTGCATTATTTGTATACATAAGTCAGATCACATAAAGTGCTTTGAGAGGTTTTTGTTTCTGAGCAATGTGATAATGCACAACCTAAATTTAAGTGTCCTCTTCTTTTCTGTTAAGTGACTTATTTTTATAACCCTGAAACATTTCAATTGAATGAGGATTTCATGGTATTGCAAGTAAAATTCTGATTATTTAGTTAGCTTTTCCAATTCTTATATAAGTTCCGCAGTTCTTTGACTTTAAAGGTTATCCCACCAATTCATAACAGAGCAAGTCTGTAGCAATACTGTATCAGAAAATAACTTCCAATCATTTATAAATAAGTTACACAAAATTTTATTTTATGCCTTTCCACTCTTCATGACATCTTGAAGCACCTCACAACCCTTTAATTATTATTGAAGTATAGTAACTTACTTTATTTGAAAAAGCTCAATAATATTCCACAAATAGCAATTAGGATAAATAATCAGATAACCTCTTTGGTTGTCATGGCTGAGAGGTGAATAGTGGAGAACTTTTTTTATTGGTACGTGCCATATATGTTTAATAAGTGCCATGTATATCTTTTTTGGATTAATCCAAAGAAGAGAAAGGAGTCTCACATTAAAGACTGCATGTTCAACAATGCAACACTTCCTCAACTGTTGCACTGAAATATTAATTAAAGATCATGTGCTTAAATTGTGGAATGTGGACTGAAGGCAAACATTTCCAAATGAGAAACAAGAGAGCTTCCGCTGAGGCAAACATAGTAAAGATTAACCTTTCATCACTCCTATCCCATCAATTAATGCTGAAATGAGTGAAGTTGGTCAGCCTGCCACCTTGCATCCTCTGTTAAGTGCGAGCTCATTGAAAACTCTGTCGCCTGTAGCCCAATTTGCAACTCATCACCAGGCGCCCCCCCCGGCACCTCCACCAACAGCCTCCCACGTTCACTGACCTACATCAGTTTCAGATCTGGCACTGCCTTGACTTTAAGATTTTTATCCTTGTTTTAAAATCCCCCCATGATTTTACCACTGTCTACTTCCAGACTGATCTCAAAACTCCAGCTCGGCCTTCTGCAGTTGGATCCTCAGCTTTCTGACCCACAGGCAGTGAAGATAGGTAACTGCATCTCCTCCACAATAACATTCAACACTGGAGACCCCAAGGATGCGAGCTCAGCTGCCTATTGTACTCCCTTTACACCTACAACTATATTGCCAAATTCTGAACGAACACCATCTACAAGTTCGCTGATGACACTACTGTAGTGGGACGGATATCTAACAATGATGAGTCAAACTTCAGAAGAGAGATAGAGGTCTTGGTAATGTAGTGCAATGAAAACAATCTGTCTCTCAACGTCAGCAAAACTAAAGAACTGATCATTGACTTCAGAAAGAAAGGAGGAGAACATGCCCCATCTACATCAATGGAACCGAGGTTGATAGGGTGGAAAGCATCAAGTTCCTCTGAGTGACAATAACAGACTTCCCATGTAAATGCAACAGTCAAGAAGGCATAACTACGTCTCTTCTTCCTCAGGTGGCTCAGGAAATTTGGCATGTCCATAAGGCCCCTCACCAACTTCTACAGGTACACCATTTGAAAGCATACTGTCTGGGTGCATAACGGCCTGGAATGGCAACTGCTCTGCCCAGGACTGTAAGAAATGACTGAAGGTGGTGTGCACAGCCCACACCATCACAGAAGCCAACCTTCCATCCATAGACTCTGTTCATACAGCTCGCTGCTGCGGAAAGGCTGTTAACATCATCAAAGACCCATTGCACCTTGGTAATGACCTCCTAAAACCTCATCTGTCAGGCAGAAGATACAGAAGCCTGAACACTTGCACAAGCAGACTCAGGAACAGCTTCTTCCCAGCCATTATCAGACTGATGAATGGACTCTCTAGCTTCAAATAACACTGATCTTGCTAACATTGATTTTGCCTGGTGCACACCCTTTTCAAATTTAACCTGTATCCTCTGTCTAAGTCTTTTCGATCTGTACATCCTTTGCTTACTATGATCCGCCTGTACCGCTCATAAACAAAGCTTTTCACTGTATTTCAGTACACGTGACAATAAATCAATCAATCAATCAAAGCTCCTTTAGCCCTACAATCCTCTGAAATCTCTATGCTTCTCCAGTTCAGACCCCGACCTTTCTTCAGTCCATCACCAGCAGCTGTGACCGCAGCTTCCTAGGCCATATAATCTATGATTCTTTCCCTAAACTTCTCTGCCTCTCCTCCTTTAGGATGCTTCTTTATATGTACATCTTTGGTCAAACTTTTGCTTACATGTTCTAATTTCTCCTTTCATGTCTTATTAATTTTTATTTGATCACTATCCTGTGAAATGGCTTAATTATTAGGTCAAATATCATATGTAAATGGAAGTTGTTATATTAGTCCTACTACAATGCAAACTAATTTATTTAAGTTATGAAGTATTTTAGAGGTGAAAGAACAATGCAAATCAGCTTCAATAAATATTTCTACTCATTCAAAAATATGATCAGAGTACACTAATTGTCATCCTTACCCTTATTTCTGACAATAAATGTACAGACTGACTTGGACGGGTGCTATTTAATACAAGTGTACAGGTGAAGCCCACGCAATTTCTAACACGCCATTCTGAATTCCAAGGTTACATTGCAACCCCAACACAGATAATGTTTTTATGTTATGTTTAATTTGATTGTTAGCTAGTATTCTCGTTTTGAGTTATAAAATGCACAGTGACAATTGATGCATGCATTCATCGCTTAAAGTGTGGCCATGCTCATCTGAATGTTAATAACCTTTGACCTCAAAGGATATTAACAAATATTTAATCCATGGTTGATTATCTAGATTGATCATTACTTTGTATATACTATTATGGATAATCCTTCTCCAAGTATTTTGTCTTTCCAAATTATTTGGATATTACTCCATTTTCCACTTTATGGAATGGCCATAGAAATCAAACAAAGTACATATCACAGTAAATTTTCCTTAGGTTGTGGTAGTGATTTTTTTGTTGCACATAAAAAGGACACTTCTTAAACAATATGTTATACTTGATTCCCTCTAGGAGCCTTATTGGATCTATGAGGTGATTATGTGCCAAACTGAACATGATGGGAATACAAAAGTAGTTATATCTTGTCAGTGAGAAGTAAAGTTGCCTAATCATCCCAGTTCTCCTGTGATGCTGCCTGGCCTGCTGTGTACCTTCAGCTCCACACTGTGTTATCTCTGACTCCGGCATCGGCAGTTCTTACTATCTCTGAAGAAATATCACTTCCTGATTAAGGAATTTCCTAAACATCTTGGCAACAAATGAATATATCATGTGAAAATATGAGTGATGGAGGCCTTGTGGTGCATTGATGGTGCCCACTGCCTCTCAGCAAGAAGTTCTCAGTTCAGGTCCCTTTCCATATCTTGATGGCCAAGGAAGGTGTGTTCATAATGCAGCCAAATACGTGTAGTATCACCTGTAAACTCTTTTAGAAAATGGCAGGCAGTAAGTATGGGAGAGAGTCCTTGTTAGTCATGTAATGGCAACAAAATTGGAGCCTCTGTCATTACCATTTTTAGCTGCAGGATGCATAATAAAGCATATGTTACCACAACAACTCGCTCATTTCTGGGGGGAGAGTGATTCTTAGTTTAGTTGAGTACTTTGGTCGGTATGTATCAGATTTTTGCCAACATTGCATTGTTCAATCTTTGTTCTGGCTGGGGTGAGTTTGGGATATTCCCTCCTTGCCCTATCTATGGTGGAAGTCATGGTTCTCTGGGTCAGACCTGCCTTTGAATAGAGAACTAAATAAGACCAGAATATTATGAGTGGTATATTTGCTTGTGTATAAAATAAAATGAATAAACAAATGTGAAAAATAAAGAATTAGCAGTAAAGATTTACTTTTTAAGGGGCTGTTGTGGTCTTTCTAATGGCCAATCACAAGACATTTCAGCAGAACTATATTTTGGGAGAAGATTGAATGCTTTAATTTATTCCTCACATGCAGACCTCCATTATTTTTATGGAGAACAAAATTTCTTAACCTGACACCAGAATACGTTGTAATATTAAATATTGAAATTTAATTAAATCTCTAATACTTTAAAGTAATTTCCCTTGGAAGAGAATTTTAAGCAGCTTCACAATAACTGTGCTTGGTATATTTAATAACTATAGGTCCCACTTAAACCGAAAATGAATTATGATGTGTAACTAGCACTAGCACTGATAAGGCAAGTTGATCGATAAATACTTACCTGAAATTCATTGTGTGGAACTGTGTCCTATTAGTTTCAGACGCAATAATGTAACTGATTAGTTGTCAATAGTTTGTCAAGATATAATGGAGATCTCATGCAAAAGAACAAGATGCAATTCTAAAAACAAGGATTGTCACTCTGTCCCCAACAAGACACATAGAGTTTCTCAGCATCAACTCTATGTTTTTTGACCTAGAGATTAATTGCCCTTTGCCATCATTTCCCAGTTATTTGTAGTTAGGTAACTCTCCCTCATCACAGTCAGTTCACTTTCTATGTGGCTCAGTCTCTGTTTGTCCATTTGGGCTCAGAATTAGTTGTGAGTAAATCTGTGTCTTCACTCCCAGAGTGGAAATATATTGAAGTGACTTGTCTGTCCTTTTATAGAATCAAAATATTACACCATCAAAATCATTGATTGAAAATTAGGTGGACTCCATCAGATTGCTGCCCTAATGGTGAAATTCAAAAATGTACTTTATTTAGTTTATCATCATTTCAACGAACACAAGCATCCCAAAGTTATTTGTTGTATCAAGGTACATTCATAGCTTACGAGTCTGTCATCACTCCAGCAAGAGTTCAGCAGTGATCTCAGTACAATAACAATGAGAAGGCGATGTTACAAGTTGGTGGCCCTCCTGCTCCTGAGGCAACTGGTTCTGTGATTAACTTCCACTTGAGCACCACATCTGCCACATCAAGGTCCTGTCTGTCCTCTCAGGTAGACATAAAAGATACAATGGCACTATTTTGAAGAAGTGCAGGGTAGTTCTTCGATTTTCCTAGCCAATATATATATTTCAAGCAACATTAATAAAACAGATGATCTGGAAATAGCAACATTCATAAAACAGATGATCTGGAAATGGTCTGTCGTATGTCCTATATTACAACAATGGTTATACTTCAAAAATCATAGCTAATTGGCTGTAAAGAATTTCAGCAGATCCTCAGGGCCTGAAAGGTACTATTTAAATGGAAGACTTTTTTTTTCCGTTTCTGTAGATTTTATGCTGGTGTGATAAGAGGACACAGAATTTCAGAGTCATAATTTTTCTACATAGATTTGATCCGACTGAACAATTATAATTTGTGCAGCATTGGATATGTGGTGTCTCTTGTAACTAGCAAATCAGAAGCAGCTAGCTTTATTACTCAGCATTGCTACTGGGGAAGCAGTGGTTGTTGCCAATATTACAGTGACCCAAGGCCAAACACTGTTTCTGGATCCCAGGCCAGATGAGTGATGACAGAAGGATGTTTACAGGGAGTTGGGGAGATTCTCAGTACATGCACCCACCTCCTCATGCAGTATCCCTTGGTAATGCATTGAGTGCCTTTGAATAAAGCCACACCCTTCTCTCCACCCAGTAGCCCACACGCAACACTGCATGGGTTTTCTTGTCATGCTGTCCACATGATCAGCCCCCTAGCCCTCTGCTGCATTAATATCACCAGCTACAGGTTGTAGCCCTTAAGTGTCATTAATTGCCATCCACATTCTTCTTGTTGGAGGCACAAAGGTGATGGGAGCCATACTGGTCATCCTCTCACCTAATTAAAACCTTCAACACTAAACTCACCACAGTGGAGGGCCTTAAATTCCACCATGTGCATCTGGTTTGTGTAACCTGTATACTTGACCAGAAGATTCCTGCTATACCGATACTGACAGATATATTATTAAAAATATTTTTAAAGTTAATCTATTTAGACATATCTCTGGGGCAGGTAATTCTTGAATTAGCAATGTTATCACTGCATCATAAGATGCCCTTTTTAAGCCTTTTTTCAAAGGAGAGTGAGAGAGGCACCAATGTGATTTGAACTTGGGATCTCCTGTTTACTAGAAATTTGCTATAACCCATAGTGATGGTTGGATTGTAATATGCCACTTCTTTGCAAATTGTTATGTTTAATCATTCAAGACCAACTGCTAGTATCTGAGCTGAAGAAAAGAGGGGAAGGGAAAGGTAATTTGAGAGCACAACTTTGTTGTAAGACAGTTTTACAAATTCAAGTAAGTTTTCAGGCCAAATCAATATGAAAGCAGTCATCATAATACATTTGTTAAGTTGACAGATATTAAATGCCGTTAAACGTGACTCAAATTTTATTAATTATTTGTTCCTTGAAAAATAGGTATTTAGAACAAGTGATATATAAAGAGGTTATTACATACAAGGACTTGGCCTGTATAGTTTTGATTGCTTATTTATTGGGATTGATTTAGACATAACATTGAACTGCTATCAATATGTGACAATGTTTTAGTACAATGGCTGTATTGTATTACAGGCTTGGCTGCAGTTGACATTTTTATAATCCTATTTTATGCTGAAATATGGTATTATAAGGTGGGTACGTAGTGCTGGAATCCATGCCTGCAGATGATCTCTATCTATATAACCCATTCTGGACTGTTTGCGTCAATGTTGTGTTTTTGTGCACATTAAAACACACAAATTGAGAGCAAGAGGAGGCCATTTGGCACATCCATGCTTCCTCTGCCATTCAGTTAGATTATGGTTGGTCTGATTGAGGCCTCTGCTTGTTTGTATCCCTTGACTCCCTTTTCAACCAAGAACCTAAACAACTCAGCTTTAAAGGCACTCAATGAATTTGCTTCCACTGATCTTTGCGGAATTGAAATCCAGACACTAATGACACAGAGAAAAAAATCTTCACCTCTCCATCTATAATGAGAAACCATTCTATTTTAAAACTGTGTTCCCTAGTTGTCTCCTACAAGGGGAAACATCCCTTCATCATTTGACCTGAGATGTCCCCTCAGAATCTTATACGTTTTAATAATATCACCTCATTGTTCTAAAATTCAAAGGCCCAACCGTTCCTTCATGCTGCAGTCTAGGGTGCTATATAAGTACATGCATTTGTGCAACTTCGAGTGTGATCATGTTTTTACGTGGTGGATAAAACATATGACAGAACAGTAAGGTGTAGTGTGTAAAAATAAACTGATGCAATCTATTCCAGGAACTGATAATGCTGGGGTAAGTTTGGAATGTAATTTAAGTGACATTAAATAGTTCACAATAAATCTGATCTCTAATTGTTAAAAGAAACCACTGAATTTATTAATTTTAAAATATCCAATGAAAAATAAGTTTTGTATCAACAGTTAAGTTTGGAAATCTAAAATACTCAATCAAATCACAGGTATTTATAAAGTTGCTGCCAGCAAATGACCTTATGGGGTATGTGTACAATTAGATCAAATTAGTTCTAGGTTCTTGACTGTGGGTTTTTAATCCTGCAAACTCTGAAACTCGGTTTCCACTTTAATCAATATATCAACTGAACAGTCAGGTCACCAAAATTAAACAAAATTCAAGCTCATATGTGTACTTTATCTGAAGCTTTAATTTCAGCATTTAAAATACAATAAATACAAACATTCTTTGATTTGTATAATTAGTCACCATTGTCTGGAAAAGCACTGCAAAGAAGACAATTCTCAATAATTATTATACTTAAGAGTTTATATTCACAGTTCACTTTGATTCAGTAGTATTTGCAGGACAATAAGATTTCATGTTGTGCTTGTGTTTTCACTCCAATTGTAACAATAACTTGTTTTTCTTTGGTTTTTGGATGTTATTTGAGTTGGGAGGTCTCTGTGTACTACTTTTAGTTGTACAAAGTTAAGGGTAGTTTTTCCATGGTAAAGACAATGTGTTCACTTAGTACCTTAGCCACACTCACTGCCACCATGTGTAGATCCCGTTTATAGGTCCTAATCACTGCTGTCCCTCTTCTTACTATCTTTTTTTTTTACTATTTAAATGCCTATAGAAAATTTTTGATTCTTTTTTATGTTGCTGCCAATTTTCTTCTCATATCTGCCTCTCCTATTTCACTTTTGCACTTCCCCTCTCATCCTTGTAATCACACTGGTTCTCACTTTAATTACCAAACTGACATCTGTCATACGCACTCTCTTCCTACTTCATCTTACTCTCTATCTTTCTTGTTATGTAGAGAATTCTGGGTTTGGTTGTCTCATCTGTCACCATCATGGGAATGAACCTTAACTGAACCTGAATTTTAGCCTTTTTAAAAGACGGCCCATTGTTCTTTTACAATTTTGCTTGTTAGTCTTTGAATCTGATTGACCTGGCAGAGGTATGGTCTCACTTCTTTGAAATTAGCCACTCTCAAAATAAATATTTTTACACCAGACTGCTCTTCTGTTTGTTGTGTACCTTCATCAGAATGTACATGAAAATAATACCATCTGATTAAAGGAAAGAAACAGTTGTCATATCATTGAAATGTTACAAGCTTCTTCACTTGTACACCACATAAACTTCAGCAGTCCCAGGAACCGGCTTACCGCCGCCTTCTAAGTCCTCAAAAGAATATAAAACTCTGTCAGTGGTTGAGCAAGTGGCAATGGTGGGGATGGGGGGAGGTCAAGGCCCTACCCCTCCTCCCTTTCCCAGCCCTCCCTCTGATCATTTTGAGATCAGTCAAAATGAATTTGGAAGACCATTTCTATTAAATTTCATGGAATCTCTGTTATACGACCTAACCCCGACCCTCATCATCTCTGCATCTGGGTTAATGTAGCTCCTGACACAGTCTTTAGGCTTAGTAAATTGGCATCTTTCCACTCCCAGCTTGGTACTTTTTCTACAACATTAGCCAAATCTAGCCCTGTCACTGTTGCCTGTTATTTCTTTGTAAATACATGTGTATAAATTACCAGGCTCTCAGTTATCACTTAGCAATTATCAATTTTTGCAGTTTTACAAGATTTTCATTTAGAGCTATACAGAGGAAATACTGAATTGTCAGAGCTTCTGACACTTGGATGAAACATTAAAACTTGAGGCCCTGTCTACCTGTTTAGATGAATGTTAAAGACACTCTGGCATTATTCAAAGAAGAGAATTCTTCTGTACCTTGGTCAGTAACATCAAAACAACTTTTTTGTTTCCTTTGTGCTAGTTGTCTGATCTGGCTGTATGCAGATTTTCTGCCAGATTTACCAAAATGATGACTACAATTCAAAAGTGTTTCTTTTGTGAAGCATCTTGACTATTTCTACGATATGAAAAATATTATATAACATTTTTGTTATAATCAAAGCCAAGGTACTAAAATTTAATAGTAGAAAATTGCAGCATTCTGGAAAACAAGATAATTGAACATTTAAAAAATGGCCTTGAATAAAAATAAATATGAAACAAATGCACAGGAGCACAATCTGAAAGAAAAGCGAACTGAATGTGTAGCTTCAATGTGTATTTTGATGGGATTATCTTTGCCTTATTTGATATTCAATTTTTATTTCAGATTTCTAGCACTTGATGTTTCCTTTACCTCCACAACTATAAAAATATTGCTTCTACATTTTGGTGCATTTGACTTTCTAGTACTCAGGTTCAATTGATCTTGATTATAATGATTCTAGTAACAATGAAGTGCAGGGGCTAGCTATCAATGGTATTAAATAGGAAACCAATTCTTCAAACACCTGCATGCCTAAATTACTCATTTTATGCAGTTGATTTCAAAATATGCTCTTATGCAATTAAAAGCTCAGATAAAATCACAGAAAAACAATTTACATAGATGATTTATAACAATATATGGCATTACTGTTATATTGCGGATGCAGAAAGTGATGGTCAACATTTTGTTTTGAAGCAGCAGTTTTTGTTCTAAAAAAGCAGAAAAAGACACAATTGTACCAAGATATGAAGGCAAGCTGTAATGTACATATAAAGAGTTCAAGATCAAACTCCTTCTGCAATTATGATCAGCTCAGGCCTCTTTTGGAAGGGAGTAATGAACTTGAACATTAACGGACACCCTCTTGCATCTGCCAGTTCTGGCAACAGAAGAAAACACAAATTACAAGTTAAAATCAGATTGCTAGTCTATTAGACCTGAGGCTGAGACACACACGCATGCAGCCTATTCATCTGATTGCAGATGGAGTACTTTTCGTGACAAGGAGTTCTTTTCAGTATGATTCCAGCCTGACTTCGCTAACACAATAAGACGTTTTGTTCCTTTCAGTTGCATCAAGCCCGCCTTCACCCTCTGCAAAACAGAAATTTAAACATAAACACCCTTTCTGTCTCCCAGATGAAAAATAATTAACATATTAGCTCATTGTAATTATGCTCACTGTCAAATGTTTTTATTCCACTGTTAAGGAGCTACTGCAGTGAAATGGACAGAACTTCTATGTACTTTTAGATTTGGCTTGTCAACTTATTTTGAATGCCTGAGTTAGTGATCCATGAATAAGCTGAATAACTGCAGGCACTCTTAACATTTAATTGTCCTAACAGGGGTTGATAGTCCAGTTCTATAAAAATGCAATTTTGCTAAATGGATAAGAATTTATTTTTGCCTTTTCTCAATCCTGAACTGACCAGTGAATGGCTTCAAATAAGAAGAAAACTGTGAAGCCCAGAAATCTGAAATAAAAATAGAAATACAGATGGTAAGTGAACTTAAATCTGAAAATTTGGGGTATAAACTTTCACTAGAAATCTGATGAAATCTTCTCACGATTTGTCATCCACCACATATACAATGACCCTCTAACATTACTGAAACACGGAGGGAGGGGGAAGCTGAAAACTTGAGAATAAGAAACCTCATTAGGAGTAAGTCTTATCTGAATAAAGTACAGAATTTGGCTAAAAATATCTCAAATTAAATTTGCAATTATGGCCAGGTTTGGAGCCAAGGTGTGTGTATGATTGGGTGGGAGGATGTGGGGATGGGGACTTTGCCATCTTCCCACCTCTGTACACTGAAGCTCAGGCAGGAAGGGCGGCGGGCATTCCTCCCGTTCAGTATTCAATCAGCAGCAGGCAGGGAACTTCCTTTATGGAAAGCCAAGCTAGTAAACCCTTTTGCCTGGGATTTTAGGAGAAGGAAGTTGGTGGCCTCATTCACAGGCACTGTGTTAATTGAGAGATCCAGTACACGGAAGGGAAGTGACACTCTGAAAGCCAATTCTTGCTCTGGCTTCTGGCTTCTCATCCCCTCTCCTTGCTGGTGACACTGCAAACCCCTATCCTACCCATACCCATGTCTATCTCGGGATCCAGCGATGATCCAGTGAGTTCAATACAGGCAGTAGCACTACTCCTAGTGGCACTGGCAGCATTGGAGATCTGCCAGCCATAGTGGCAAGGCTGATCAAGTATAACTGCACTGCACCTCCCAGAAAGAAGCAACACAGGATTCCCTCAGCTCTCCAAGTGTGCAGGACCATTTTGCCAATTGTATATCTATATTCATAATGATGATCAGTGTCACTGAATGCAAACTCGAAACTTGTTTATCTTCAACACTGACAGAACCTACTACCCGCACTGTATTAGATGTCATCACTTCTAACAGAAGATATAATGCAAGGTACCTGAAACTGTTGATGGTACTTAATAATCAGGTCATTAACAGTGTGGTGATAAATGAAATATCCAAGTTTATTTTATGAGATTAATGAAGGATTATACCCAAACTTTCAGATTTAACTGACTCCTGCGTTTTTTCAACATTCACAGTTTCTGTCTTAATTTCAGAATGCCTACATTCATATCTTCTTGGGATCAGGCGCAGGATGTGATTGAGGCTGCTGTCACTTTGATGCCATTGAACATGGAAGCATCTTCAGGCTTTGCTAGTCGACCTTTTGATGCACACCAGAAGTTTCTAGCAAAGAAAACATTAACACAATTAATAGTGATGGCTAAATGCAGAACAAATTGAGATTTGTTTGAAATTTGTTTACATTGATATTGGTGGATTTGGCTGTCCTGTTTCACTTTAGCATCTATCACTTAATGGGGCCTATATTCCCATTTAGCATTGGAAGTTTCACCATTTTGGCTGCTTTTTAACCCTTCCTCTTGTTGCTGACCTTCCATATTATGGCCTCCCCGATTAATTAACCCATCCTCTTGCTGCCAACATTGACTTGTGGCCATTCCTGGTCAATTATCTTTCTCCTGCTTCTGATCTGCCAACTGGTGGCCTTTCCCATTTATTAGCCCACCTTCTTGCTGCCAAGACTATGATTTGTGGTCTTCCCTGGTAAAGATCCTTTCTCTTGCTGCTAAACCTCCAGCTTGTCAGCTCTTCCACTCCCCAACCCACCTTCTTGCTGCTGAGGCTTCGACTTGTAGCCTTTGTTGCTCCCTAATTCACTTCTTGCTGATCTTTGCTCTCATTGAATCTCCTGCTCCCCGACTTTCACGTTTGATGCTTCAGTTTCCCAAACCCTCATTGTGAGCTTCAAAGATGCCCCTCCTGCTTCTCACCACTCATCCCCAGAGCCTTCATTTACAGCAATGGTTTAAGAGAACACAGCTGTGAGCATACGATTCTGGCATCAGGAGGTTCAATGACAGAAAGAATCAGCAAGAGGGGGAATCAGGGACTGGCAGAGGCCATTAGTTGAAGGGTTGGCAGCAGGTAGGTGGTTTGATGGGTTACATTGCAGGAGAGCAGTGAGTGTTTTGGAGGCCTAGCATTAAGAGAATGGATTATGGATTGAGAGAAATTGTGAACGATGAGTAAGTGAGAGGAATGTTCTACATTGACAGGGCATCAAAAGCAGGACATGTGGTGAGCGAGAGATTCTGGAATCAAGATCAAAAGTAGATTTGTGGTAAGTAGCAAGCTACCACAGTGTTGGTCTTAATTTTTTAAAATTTATTTTATTTTACAAATTACAGGGGTATTTGATTTTCCAATGTGTAATTTAGTGATCAAAAGCGTTTTAACATTCAGTGTATATTGTTTTAATGTCTTTGTGTTCTAATCAGGAAGGTCATGGAGGATCTAACTATAGCTTTTTCATCAGTTTCAGTGAGATTATGTGATTTGTTCAAAGCAATTTCACTTAAAGTTGCACTTTTCTGGAATATAACTATAACTTTATGTGAGGACTCACTCTAATGCATTTGTATTGTGTTTAGTAGTGCAGATGCAGAATCAAAAATTATTCTGCAGTCTGAATGGAATTACATGTATTTTATTAAATTTCCCAGAGACTAAAATACAGGGGATTGTCCAAAACAAGTTGAGATTATCGACACACTAAGCTATGTAATTCGGCGGTGTATACTATAACCCACAGGCATGGAATGTGATTTCTATCAATCATCAAATAGAAAATAAATTATGTGCTCCTGGACACAACACTTACAAAATGCAATCACCTAACATGGGACATGTCTAATTATGACAAACAATATGCAAATCAATCTTGCCAAGAAACCCAATTCATCCAAACCACTGGCCTTTATTTCAAATTAAATGGAATATAAATAGGGAGGGCTTGCTAAAACTATACAAGACACTAGTTTGACTACAGTGGAATACTGTGAATATTTTTGATCGCCTTATCTAAGGAAAGATATATTGGCATTGGAGGCAGTCCAAAGAAGGTTCATTAGGTTGATCGTGGGTGTGGGTTATTGTCTTATGAGGAGAGATTGAGTAATTTTGGCCTGTACTCAGTTAGATTTAGAAGAATGCGAATGGGATCTCAGAAAAAGGGTCACCCAGTTATTATAGAGGAGAGGACAAATTTCGTATCTCAGATGGTAGGCAACCTGTGAAGTTTTTTTAATTACTGTCAGGCTGTAGCGGCTGGGTCATTAAGTAGATTTAAGGTGAAGAAAGACAGATTTTTAATCAACAAATGAATCAAGGATAATGGGTAAAAGGCAGGAAAGTGGAATGGAGGATTTTCAGATCAGCCATTGTCTTATTGAATGGCTGAACTCACTCAGCTGACTTCTGTTCCTACATCTTATGGTCTTCTAATATTGTGATATTGACCATGCCCTGAACTGACTCACTGGAAGTAATGTAAATCTTCCATTTTAATTATCCATTTCAGATTTGTCTGTTTATTTAAAACATTTGTAATCATAAATAATATGAGGAAAGTATTAGAAATGCATCCTTAAGCTTTGTTTGACTTTTTGGAGGTAGTGAGACACTTTTCTAAGAAGTTTAAATATCATTAGTGGCATTCTCAGTAGTAGGGTTGTACATTGTGGATTAAGTTATGGAACCATGATTTTTTTTGTCCTGTATCCTATACTGTTAGTACTTATCAATTAAAAGGCCACAAACTAACAGGAAAATTGCCATGTAATCAAGATGACAGATTATGATTGATGGTAACTGAAACAGGAGGAACAGTTGAATATTTTAAAAATAAGATCTTTTAAAAAAAGCACACTGTTCAGAAAAAGAGAAGTCGCATCAACAGATAGGAGAACAATTGATCAAAAGCTTGTTAAAATCTGTTTTTTAAGTGAGTTTCTTAAAGGTGGAGAGAAGCTGAGAAATTTGGGTATGGAATTCCGATCCTAGAGTCCAGACAGATATCATTATGGGCTGTTGCTTGATTTCGAAAATAACGTCCATTCGGAGTTGCGAATTTCTGCCATGGGAAGAGGCACATAACTGAATGTGATACTTTTTGATTTCCAGATCATGGGTCACGATGTCTCAAGAAGTATAGTGACCTAGAGTATAGTGCAGAGGGTATCCTGAAGAGAATTTTCAATCATGGATGTTGCTGCTCAAAAACACCTTTGTGCCAACACAGGTTCAATGACTTTCAAGCATCTGTTGTCTGTATGCAGGTTCTTGACAAGAAACTCCCAGGTTCATACCGCTATCATCAATTCTCTATTACCAAAGAACTTGGCAAATGGACCTTGGTAGATGCCTGCACGTTTTGTTTAAACTTTGCTTAATATTTAGATCTTGATCATTGTTAACACTATCTTCACTGGTTGGTGATCGGACTTTGGTACCATTTCAAGCTATGGTGTCTGTGAGATGCAGAATCTTCCTTTATCTGCTTGGTTGTTGAGAATCTTTTGGACCACTCTTTATCTATTTCCTCACCCCACTTGGCCTCCATGACAGCCCTACTGGAATCAAGGAGTTCCTGATAGCATTGCTCAATGGGCCGCTCTAGTGCACAAGCCTCTCCACCAGTTCAAGATCACAATCCTTGGAAGGTACACAAATGTACACAAATCCATTGGGGAGGAGAATGAAATTTGGAGTTGCATAAAAACTAAAATTGTCAGAGTGCGGAAATCTTGGGAGGTTTATAGCCCTCAGGGTTGAGGGTTTTAGGAAGAGGTCACAAAGCTAAAGACCAGTGAAGGCTGGGAGAAGGATGCCAGAAGAACAGCAGAGGAGAGTATTTGAAAGTCCAGAAGTCACAGAAGCATGGGTGTCTGCAACAGATGGACTAAGGCAGGGCAGGAGACAAAGATGGCCAATACTACAGAGGTTGGAAAAACGTCGTTTTATCTGCAACTTGCACACATCAGTACATGACAGAGTGAAAAGCAGTAAAAAGGAAATGCTATAACATTGTTTCTGTCCGTGATAGGGGATCCACCAAGAGGGTGAATTATGATTAAATGACCAAAATGTTACTTTGTGAGCCTGTAAGTCTAATCTCAGCTTCAGTGAAATTAGGGTATTTAAATATTACTGTACCAGGTGGGGTGGAGTGGGGTGGTGACAGAAGTACTCTTTACTTTCTCATGAAGGCAGTACTTTTATGACCTGAAGCCGAGAAAAGTGACTTAATGCATGCTCCGTGACAACCGCCTATTGCGTTTATTTTAGTTTATGCGCCGCATTTAGCCTGGCGGGACCTTGAAGAGGGACCTCTTCATCCCCTGGAGACAGAACAATTGTTCGGTATCGCTGCAGTTTCGAGAGAAAAAAAACAGGCGAGTAAATACCTAAAACAAATGAGCGCCTCTGACTGGAGTAAACAAGCCCCGAGCAGATGGTCACTACCTTACCTGAGCTGGCGGGTCCCCAGGTGTGGGAGCGGCGCGCGCTGGCACGTGCAGCGCCTCACCTGCTGGCCGCGCCCCGCCCCGCGCGCTCCGCACCTGTCGCTGCTCGCACCGCACGTGCCCCTTTGATTGACAGACCTCGCGTGTCAGCTGCCGCCCAGCCTCTTGTTGCTCCTCTCTCTCTCCCTCACACACACACACACAGCAACAGCTGAACACAAGGGCGCTCGGCAACCGCAAGCAAAGGTTGCCATTGTCTGCCAAGCGCCCGCTTCCCCACCATCCTTTTGTCGCGCTGCAATTTGTAAGAGGCACTGTAAGTTGATTGAGGGGTTGAATTCAAAGAACACTTAAAACAAAAACTTCTGTGTGCATCTTAAACCCAGGAGTTACTTGTTTCCTTGAATAGGAATTCAACGTTGATTTATTAAACCACTCTTTTGGCATCTCTTAGGATTTGCCCCTCCTAATGCACCATGGACAAAACATCAATTCTCGCAGATGCAGTGTGACATTTTTATTTCGAGGTAATCCAACTTACTAACTTCGCCAGAAGCATCCTTCATAACCAGAAATCAACAAAAAAAGAACTGTTACCTGCAAATTACTGAAGGATACATCTCACGAAGCGGATTCTAATTCACCCTACCACCTTGCCAGTATAAATCTGCTAACTGCCTCGAGCTCTCTATGTCTTCCACTCTAAACTCTAAACCCTTCTGATCCACCTTAGCGGCAATAACTGGAGCTTATGACTGTTCGGCATTTGTTTAATATCCTGCCATTTAATAATGGAAAAAGCAGGTGTTTGTAAACTATTCCCTTTGAAAGTTAGCCCCGAGCTGTAGTTCATTTTTC